CCACTACTCTGCTCTAAGAAGGCATCACTTATATACAGAATGCATGGAATACTGCCATAGCCTCCTACTCAGTTCCCCTAAGGAGAATGGCTCTTCTCTAATTCATTCTCTACATGTATCCACATCAATTTTTCTGTAACACAAATTGGATCCTGTCTGCTGTGTTTTTTAAACCCATTCAGTAAGCTTCCCACTTTTTAATGAATAAGATCCAGTGAATGGATATTCATTTAGTTATCCATATAATGTAATAGACACATTAAGCCCAAACAAATATCCAAAACAAATGTAGGACTCTAGCAATGCCCCACATTCAGTCAAAATGTTCACCCCCATCCCATGCCCGTGTTCCCCCTAACGTATGAAGGCCAAGATCCTAAGTACCATATTCATAATTAGCTTCACTTGCTTTTTATAAAGTCTTGTTGCATCTCTATATATTCTTAAACTTGTATATTTTCAAATTTTTGCTATATTTTAGCAGTATTATGTTATATAACATATAACAAGCAGCATTATGTTATATAACATTTTTGAAAGATATAACATTTATGCTTAATTTACTATTGTATTTTCAACATTCATTCATGTTACAAAAGTCTGTGTAGTTAATTCATTTTGACTACAATATAATTAATATTTCCTTGTATTGATATGCCAATGTCCATTCATGAACTTTTCCACTGATGGACTTATGGGCTATTTTCAGGTTTTATTTTTATGTATAGTAGTGCTATAAACATATTTGTTTATATTGGAAGAAATTTTATTGGGTACATGACTGTAAGTCCTGAGTCATATATAAATGTTCAGATTTCAGAGATAATGCCAAACTGCTAACTGAAGTTATTACAAAAATACAGAGATGCATTACCTCTAATAATTGGTATTATCTGCCTTTGCAATTTTTGCCAATTGAATAAATACAAATGAGATGTCATTATATAGACTTGATCTGCATTTCTCCAATTATGATTGATGTTAATTATTTCTTCACAGATTTATTTGCAACATGTGTTTCCTTTTATATGAAATGTCTATTCAGTTCTGTTGCCCCCTTTTTTTTCTATTGGGTTGTTTGGACTTTTCTTATTAATAACAGGAAAATTATTATATATATATACTTGATATACATAACAATTGTTTATATATATAATAATTTGTCAGTTATATTTTCTTTGAATATATTCTATAATCTGTAAATCCTCTTTTTACCTCCCTTTAAGGTATTTTGAATAAACCAACTTTCTCAATTTTAACATTATGAAATTTATCAATATTTTCTTTTATAAGCAGTGTTTTTTATTTGCTTGTTTGTTCGTTTTGTTTAAGGGATTTTCCCTATTCCAAGCTGTTATCAATGCTTAAATATTTTTCTGCTAAAGTTTTAGTTTTTTTGACATTTAAATTCTTAATACCTCCAAAGTTTCTATTGGTTCATGATATGAGTTAGACATCTAATTTCATCTTTTTACACATGGATTACCATTATATTTTCAGTTCTATTTATTGAAGAGCCTCTCTTTTTCCAGGTGCCCTTTGCTCTAATACTACATCCTTAATTACTCTAAATTTTATGATATGTTATTTGTCATATCTCTACTTTGTATTCTTCTCCTTTAGGAACATCCTGGGTGTTCTAGATCTTCATCATCCCATGAAATGTTTAGTATCTTCTCATTTTACTAATATTTTACTGGTCACATCCTACTTTTTGCTATAGACCTCAAGTTTAATGCCATAGCCTCTTTGAGGTTTTATCTAATACCCTAGATCCATTTTCCTCTACTTCAAGCATTCTCTTTCCTTATCCTAATACCCATTATGTTTTGTATCCATTTCTAAATTACTTTATCTTTTAGATGAATATATACAATTATGTGTCGCTTATCAATAGTAATATGGTCTGAGAAATACACTGTTAGGCAATGTCACCACTGTGTGAACATCACGGAGTGTATTTACACAAACCTAAATAGTATAGTCTACTATATACCCAAGTTATACAGTATAGCCTACTGCTCCCAGGCTACAAACGTATATAGTGTGTTACTATACTGAATACTGTAGGCAATTATAAAACATTGGTAAGCATTTGTGCATCTAAAGATAACTAAACATTCAAAAGATAAAGTAAAAATACAATATTATAATCATTGGGGACCACCATCATGTATGTAATCCATCATTGACAGAAATGTCATTATGCAGTACATGATTATATACATATACGCACAAAAAGTGAGAAGGAGAGAGAGATAGAGAATGAGAGAGACAGAGAGAAATATGTAATTTATAATTGACTATAAGCTCCATGACAGGCGAGAACTCAGTTCCCTCATGTCCCAAACAGCAAACAGCAGGGATCTCAGTTGTATCCTCAAGACCGAGTATCTAATAAGCCCTTAATAAATAATTGGTGAATGAATAAATGAAGACATCTCAAAAATTAATTCACAGTGTATGCTAATGTTAGGTACTTAGAAATTATTTAAAATTTAGAAATATAAAAGATCTTAGAAACTACCTCTTCCAAACCTTTGTTTCAATAATGAAGACATGTAGGTCAAAAAGGATCAATTTTTTTAAGTCAAAAACCTCATTTTTGCATATTTAGAACATGGAAATTTCAGTCAAGTACACTTGGCACAGCATTGTCTTCTTGTAAGTAAAATATTTTGAATACAGAGTATAAATTCCTACATAAAGTGACAGTCTGAAATAATAAGTAACACAAATTAAATTAAAACCCTTAAGTCTATTGTCCATTCATTCAAGACAAATAATGTCAATATGCAACATTGAACAAGTACCATAGACTGAAAGTTTGCACACCCGCCCCCCCCAACAAAATTCATATGTTGAAATTCCAACCCCCAAGGTGATAATATTAGAAAGTGGGGCCTTTGGGATGTGATCAGGTCATGAAGGTGCAGCCCTCATGAATGGGATTAGTGTTCTTATAAAATATGCCCTAGAGAGGTCCCTCAACCCTTCTGCCATGTGAAGTTAATGACAAGACAGATGTTTATGAGGAACAGTCTCTCACCAGACACGGCATCTGTCAGCACCTTGATCTTTTACTTCCCAGCCTCTCAAACCGTGAGAAATAAATTTCTGTTGTTTTTAAGCCACCTAGTATATGGTATTTTATTATAGTAGCTCAAATGTACTAAGACGACAAGTCTTACAAATAAAGAGAAGGTAATTTAATTTTACAATTCAAGCCCAAGGAAATGTTATTATTTTTGTCTTGCATCATTAAATTTTACATTTTGAGATTTAAGACTGAGCATTAAGGACATAAATCAGCATAACAGTACTTTTTTGGTACTTTCAGAAAAGGATACCATAGTTTTGCTGAATCAGGTTATAACATTTTTTGTGACCAACCTAGATCTCTTCTTTCAACAAATGACAAAGTAATCATTCCAAACTGATGTGATCCATCAAAGCACATTTCTACTTTCAGCCAAGCAGCAGCTCAACTGATTCTAACAAAGAAGCAGAGAGGCCTGATTTATTCTGGGGTTTTAACTAAAGATCAGCAAATCAATTCCCATATTCATTTGTCAAAACCTGATGGACTCATAATGTTCTCCTCTCAGAATAATTGTAGTACAAAGGCATAAAAAATGCATATAAACTACCTAAATAGGTCTAGGCTTAGTCACTTCCAAAGTACTTTATCTAAATTATTTGTATTTGTCAAAAACTGCAGCAAGAGAGTTAGACCCATTTTGAAAAGAAGAGGTAGATATTCAGAATTTCTCCCATTGAGCAAAAATATTTTTACAATCTAAAGCAAATCCAAGATATCTAAAATATACTCTTTTGGCAAAAAATTAAGTTTTCGAAATGTTCTTCTGTGTTTCCCTAAACCTCACACAATCATGTAGTATAAAATGAAATTCTGCTTATTAGAATATTTTAATTAATAAATAACCTAAAAATTGTAACATTAAAAGCATATTACATTTATTAAATAAATCATTAAATTTTTAAATTATTAAATAAATGCAAATCTCGACTTGGTAATTTAGAATCACTTTTTCAAAAGGTACAAACATTTCAACTAAGACTCAAAGTTGACCCTTTTGTCATATTTATGCAGAAAACTTTGCTAATCAGAGAATATATGTTAGTTCAATGCGAATAAAACTAATTCTGGGCACCCTTAAGTACTATAGAAGCACCTATTTACTAGGAATATTTCAGAAATATATTTATAGATCTTAAAATCAGCAAAAAGCAAAGCATAGAGAAAATTGTTTGGAATCACTTTGCAGGAAATTAATCTCCATGCCTTTACTTGATGAATAACCATTTATATAAATTATTATGCTTATTTAGCATTAGCTCTTATCTGTTCATTGAAACTGATCCCTCAAGAGGAATATACTGAGTTACACTGACTTTATAACTACTTGAAGTTATAATAATTTTTGCACTTCACATAGAGCCAACAATATGGTGATCTATAGGGTGAATCTGGCCGCTAACATGTGCTTTGTTTTGAAAATTGGTGTTTTTTATTTTTTACCTGTTTTGGAAGTTTTAGGGATATCATGCATAGTTCCAGTTTTTTATAATCCCCACCTGTCTCACTTTAGTAGTTTTTCCCTTTTATGTTATGTGCTTGGTCTTTAAAGGCTTTTGGCTTCTGAGAGCCTAGATTTAAAATTCTGCCCAGTTTGAAAGTTCACTAAATGGTTCTTTTCATACAGGCACAAAACACTGAAATTTATTAGGATTGGAAGGTATCTTAGAGGTTAGCCAACTATTCTCATTTCTTCCAACAAAACACCTAAGACCAAGAAAAGTAAAAATAGCTGCTTCAATAGTTGAATATTGAAGCCCCTGGTTCAATAGTTCTGCCAAAATGCTCTTTTGACTCAATAAGGCAAAACTATTCTCATTTTGGAGTTTCATATTTTGTCAAGCATCACCACAACTGTCATCTCTATTATAAAAATAATTCCTGCTTCATAAGCACTTACCCCTCAATGCAGGCAGCAGGGATCTCTCCTTCTTGTCATCACATTTGTTACATTCGCTGAAGTACAAGAGTAAGAAGACATCGACAAGAACCCACATCAGTGAAGTGGCTAGAACCACCTTGCAGTAAACAAATCTCCTCATGTCTTTCTGGATTTCTAGTTAACACACAGATCGAAGACAAATGCTACTGTGATAAATCCAAGCCACAGAAATGAACTCCAGCATAAAAGCAGGATGCATTCCACTGTATAAAAAAAAGAAAAGGAAATTTCATTATTGCACTTGTTTTTGTATAAAATACACATAACATGAAACAGATGACTTATTTAATGCTCCCAGATATAATAGCACTTCAAATTCAAAATTAAAAGCTCAAATAGATGAAGGTTGTTAGGAAGACAGGTGTCTACAATTCTAACACCTAATACTAGGATCTGCCACTACCCTCCTGGGCCCTTGATAAACTGATTACTTCAAGTAATATTGTCTTTACCTTAAAGTCCTATCATGAGAATCTATATAGCATCATGTTATCAAAATATTAATAGTACAGTTTAGAATTTAGCCAGATTTAGGACTTCTGATGATCTAATAATACTGGAATGGAAATCATCCTGAAATATAATGTATTATAGTGGCTAAGAAATGGCCTTTATAGATAGACAGGTCTGGGTCTATGTACTTTCTAGGTATGGGAGACTTTCTAAGCCTGTTTTCTCATGTATAAAATGAAGATAACAATGACCAACATAAAGATTTGCTATGAGGATTAAGGATGATCATGCTTGTGAAGCATCTTGCAGAACAGATAGTTATTAATATTAAGATGAAAAAATAGTTTTCGGATTATCAAGTAGGGCAATTACAAGAAGTAAATCAACACTTGTTTGGGCTTAAAAACCCCATCTGCACTTCATAGAAAGTTTACACAATAGATGTGTATTTTAGAACAGATAGCATTCACCCAAACAATTTAACAGAGTAGAAACAACATATTAATGTAAAATGACTTAAAATAACTAGAGCAAGAATTCTAAAGGGCATTAATAAAGATATGTGCATAATTAAGAAATATCGAAAGTAAGTATAGAATTAATTCTATACACACATACATATTTATTTATACTACATTGAGCAATAGCCACCTGGTTAACTAGTCACTATCTATAAAGCAAATAAGTCAGACCAAAAATAATCTGATATGATTTGCTATATTTAAAATAACATCAAATGAAGTATAAATTTTGTGATCTGAATAATACCAGTGACATAGTTCTGACAGTGATATTTGGGGTGAGCAGTATTAAATAAAAGGGAACTTGAAATGTTTTTTTCCTAAACACTTGTCTCAAAATAAAAGCATCAGAGTATAATTTGCTGAGGCAGAAGCTCTTTAATGGTAGCTGGCAACATCATAAAACAACAGAAATGCTGTTGACTTTTACAATCAATCCACCCTAGTAACAAATTCAAAATTCACATAAAGTGAATAAAAGTAAAAAAATAATTATTATAACAAAGAGTTTATTTCAGTAACTACATAAAATTTACGCTTATTCAGAATATATATATATTTCAGACAAAAAGATATATCATGTGGAAGTTCAAAGAATACATGATATTTGAGGTTTAAAGTTATTCTTGAAAAAAAATGGCTTGCTAAGTATCAAGTTTGTTTCATTTCCACTTCACTTTTCTATGAAAATGATAGCTAGATATTGGAACTCAGCCTTTAAACCTGATAATAAGGGAAAGATTCTTCCATATATGTCCCATTACTATGTGCCTGCTTTTCTAAATTTTAGGTATGAAACAATTCAAGCTATCAAATTTTCTGTCTTTCTTCAGTCCTAAGATGGAGTAGGTCCTTCAGTTTGTTGTAGAAAAGAAATGCTGCAGAAAAGTACCCATACCGCTGATGGTCACCAATTGGCCATGCCCTGGTTGAGATGGATCATTATAATAAATGATCTTTGAAGGTGCCATAAAATAAAGAGATGACCTTAGGTATGCATCTTGCCTCTCTGTTCTTCATTTTCTTTATTTTTAACTATTTCCTGCCCCATCCACCTCACAAAATATTGGGAGGCTTAAGCAAGATATGAGTGAGAACATTTTTAAAAGAAAATATGAAGAATATTATTGTAATAGAAAATCTGAAATCACTTAGTATTAAATATTGAAATGTCTATGATAAGTCATTTCCTAATAACAGCCTTAAGTTGAGGTTATTGAGAATTTCATTTAAACTTTAGTTATGATAAAAAGTCAAAATCACATCTTCTTGCCACTGTAAGCATTATTCAAGTTTTTCAAATTCCATGGCCTGCTAGATACATATGAAGACATTAGCACTTAGAAAAACCTAACTTTATTATTTCATGTGATAAAACTAAGTTGTTCTTTAAGTTTTTTGTCTAATTATGAAATGGCTTTTCATGTTTCAAGTTTTTAATTCTACTTATGACTTGAAAACATCTCTACCTTGAAAACAGGCTAAGCTTTATCACTCAAAGATCTTATCCCCTGGCACTTGTAAAATATTAATAATAATCTCATATCTTGTGTTCCAATACTCCTGTTCTTATACTAACCAACATAAGCACAGTTAGTGGCCAAGTTTATTGAAGAAAACCAGCATCTGTATTATGTTTTTATTTCAATAAGCTCCTGTTTATTTGCAAATACTGTTCCATTTCTCAAACAGTCAGGAAATCCATGTTCTGCAATATCCTTGGCTTGCTAAAGCCAGTGTGGAACATGACCAGGTTGCATAAATGACAGGATAGACAACAGGCCTTTCTATTCGACAATATGACCCCTTTTGTAATTGTTTCAAAGGTCTTTTTAGCACAGATAGATCTCTCTCAAAAATATTTCCCTAGATAGGAAAACTTCAAGAAATAAAAAATTATCTAGTACCATTTTGCTAGTCAGATTGCCTTTCCCCTTTTTTTCCTGCCCACTAAATAATGGTATCAGCCAGATATTCTATGAGATATTAGATAATTCTTGCTTGAAAATATGCAGCATTTTCCTATCTTTATTACAATAGATTTCAAATGTAAAAAAATAAAGTCTGGATAAAGTTTAAAATTTGGGTAAATATGTTGTTAAATAAGAAGAAAAAATCTTTTTGTTTGTTTTTTAGTTTTTTATTTGTTTCTGTTTTTGTTTGTTTCTGTTTTTGTTTTTTAACTAGGAGGTTATTACTTAGCCAGGGAATCTCTTTAGTTGTTAAGTATGTTTTTATCTGCAGTCATATATTGCCTTTTGTAGAGAATTACAAAATGGGTGCAAATTTATTCAATCTGTTTTATGAGGCTATACTTGAAGCTGCCAAAGGATCCTGGATGCTAGTGTAAGGCTGCTGGTAGTGCTCCCAGAAGTTTCAGGCACCCAGCACACTATAAATGTTTTAAATAGCTATTCAGGAGTTTCTGCTAGCTGATGACCAGACGATTTGCAGAGTTTGATTATCATGGACTGATAAATCTAGTCAGCAAGCACTGAAAAAATATTTTAAATTAGCTTCAGATCTGACTGATCTTTGCATGAATAAAGATAAAAAATTAAGGATAGACCTGGGGAATTCACTCACAGTCTAAACCAAAGGGTCTGCTGTAATAAGCACACCATACTGAATGACACACTGAGAGATAAAGAAGCCAACAAAGATAATGTTAATTAAATGCCTTTTGCTGAAAGATGGTGGAATAGAAACAATATATATATATATGTGTGTGTGTATGTATATATATATATATATATATATATAGAGAGAGAGAGAGAGAGAGAGAGAGAGAAATGCTCTCACTTGTATATTAACTAAGAAAAGGTTGAATATTCACAACATAAAATTTGACTGTTAAGAGGCAAACCTAGCAAAGGCTCTAAGAATAAATACTGTAGCGTTATAGTGTCATGATTTGGGTCTGGGTTCCAACACTCACTAATTGTATGACTTAATTCAAGTAATTCAAATGTTGAGTGCCTTGGTTTACTTATCCACAAAATGTAAATCGTGGTAGTTACCTCATAAGGCTAGGATGAGTATGAATACATGTAAAGCTCTTAACATAGTGCCTAGTACATAGGAAGGACTCAATATACATTAGTTGTTATTAGTAGTAATAACAGTAACATTGTTATCATCAGGAACATCATCCAAAGTAAGAGAAAAGAATGAGGATTCTCCTTGCCCACTTTTCCATAAGTGGTGCATGTTCAGTGTGCCCCTATTTGGGGGGTTAGGGAACAAGAGCACCATGAGCAGAAATATTTAACAGATGTAGTTGCTGATGGTGTGTGAATTACACAGAGTTTTACAATAGTCAAAACTCACTGATCCATGCATTTATCTGTGCATTTCACTCTACGTAAATTATAACTCTTTTTTAAGGTAAAATATGATAAAATGGCTATGTAGGTATCATATGATTCCCTGATATCATCAACTTTTAATTTAAAAAGTTATAGTCACAATTGAATCAGATAAGAGAGATTCTATGTAATACCTTTCTAATCTCATCTCCTACCACTGTTCTTCATACCAGCCACTTGGGGCTCCTGGCTGTTCCTTAAACATGCAATTACTAGCTTGCTTCAGGCATGTTTTCTCTGCCCATTGATGAATTCATGACTCTCTGCTCTTAATTCCTTCAGTTCTTTCTTCCCTCCTGCTTAAATGTCACATTACAGAGAGCTTTCTTTATCAACCTATATAACATAGCAGACATACCTTAGTCACTCTCTCCTCACCCCACTTTATTTTCCTTCTTAGCACTTATCTCTCCCAACATATTCAAAAATTAACTTTTTTGTTTGTTTGCTATTTGTCCCTATTTATTTTCTTTTTTTGTATCCCAAGAAAACACTATCATTTAAGATGTCCTGATTTCTTAAATGATAAGTTATATGAGAATAGGATTTCACATCTCTTACATGTACCCTCTCTCACTGCAATATATTTAATTTTAAGCCCCCAACATTGGTGGTTATGGGCTGAATTATCCCACCCTCCCCCTGTCAAAAATCTATATGTTTGAGTCCTAACCCCTAGTATTATAGAATGTGACAAGGTAATTAGATAAAATGAGGCCATAAGTTTACACCCTAATCAAACATGACTGGTGTCCTTATAAGAAGAAGATATTAGGAAACAGACACACACACACACACACACACACACACACACACACAGAAAAGACCATGTGAGGACTAAGAGAGAAGATGGCCATCTAT